TGTCTCAAAAAAAAAAAAAAAAAAAAAGTATATTCTAGGGTTAGGGAAAATGCAATCTGGAATTAAGTATTAGCTTTAAAATTTACAGTTTTGATTTTCCTGGCTATTCAGGATTTGACTAACTGTGGAAAAGAGTCTTAAGAGTAGGGTGGCACCTATGGTTCAGTGAGTAGGGCGCTGGCCCCATATACCGAGTGTGGCGGGTGCAAACTCGGTCCCGGCCAAACTGCAACAAAAAAAAATAGCCAGGTGTGTGGTGGGCGCCTATAGTCCGAGCTACTCGGAAGGATGAGGCAAGAGAATTGCCTAAGTCCAAGAGCTGGAGGTTGCTGTGAGCTATGACGCCAAGGTACTCTACCGAGGATGACAAAGTGAGACTGTCTCTTAAAAAAAAAAAAAAAGTCTTGAGAGTGTCTGTTGTATATAATCAACTAAAATACATGGTCATTTGTCTAGCTGTGCAATGGCTCACACCTGTAATTCTAGCACTCTGTGAGGCTGAGACGGGTGGATTGCTTGAGCTCAGGAGTTTGAGACCAGCCTGAGCAAGAGCGAGACCCTGTCTCTAAAAATAGCCAGTCAGTGTGGGGGCACCTGTGTTCCCAGCTACTTGGGAGGCTGAGGCAAGAGGATTGCTTGAGCCCAAGAGTTTGAGGTTGCTGTGAGCTGTGATACCATGGCACCCTAGGGAGGGTGACAAAGTGAGACTGTCTCAAAAAAAAAAAATGCATGGTTTTTTGACTAAGAAAGCTCATTGTAGAAAGTGTAAAAAGTACAGAAAATTATCAGAAGCAGAACTATTATCAATGCTCTTGTTTATTTCCTTTTAGTCTTTTTCGGTATTTTTAAGACACTGAGTGCTTCTCGAACTTAGTGCTCTGCCTTATTTAGTATCATAAATGCTGTGACATGTTTTAAAAATTCTAAATAAATAGTTTTCTTTTTTTTTGCAATTTTTGGCCAGGCCTGGGTTTGAACCCACCACCTCTGGCATATGGGGTCAGCGCCCTACTCCTTTGACCCATAGGTGCCGCTTCTAAATAAATAGTTTTCAATGGCAACATGATATTCTATCATTTGGGTGCACCACGATTAATTTAACTAGTCTTAATATTAGTTCTTTAGATTTCCATTTTTTTGCTAAAACATTTAACATCTTTTTATTTGGGGCTATATTTTGGATCATTCTCATAGGTTTGTAGAAGAGGAATTACTGGGCAAATGGACAGGAAGAAAATACCCTTTACAAACTATCTTCTATTATTTCTGGATATGAAAATATATAATGCACTCACACACAGAACTTTGCCTTTTAAGAACAGAAGTTCTGACTGGGCGCCGTGGCTCATACCTGTAATCCTAGCACTTTGGGAGGCTGAGGCAGGTGGATTACTTGAGCTCACAAGTTTGAGACAAGCCTGAGCAAAAATCGACACCTCATCTCTACTAAAAATAGAAAAAAACTGAGGCAAGAGGATAGCTTGAGCCCAAGAATTGGAGGTTGCTATGAGCTATGATGACACCACGGCACTACCCAGGGCGACAGATTGAGACGCTTGTCTCAAAAAAAAAAAAAAGAATAGAAGTTCTAAAATAAAGTAAATGGACATGTAATGGGGAAATCTTAAATTTTAATCTCTAACTTGGGTGTAGTGGAAACAGCATGGGCTTTGGCATCAGATCTCTCTCTGTTACTTATTAGTGATAAAACCTCTGGGAAGGCACTGAGCCTTCTAGAGGTTCAGTTTCTTCATCTTTACAATGGAACAAAAATACCTTTTTTGTAGAGTTCTGTGTTGTAGAATATTCACATGTCCCCTGAACAGCAGTACCAGTAGCAGCCTCAGCATCACCTGGGAACTTGTTAGTAATACAAATTCTCTGGCTTCACAACTCAACCCTACTGAGTCAGGAATTGGCGGGCAAACTGTTTTTACATGTCCTGGAGGTGATTCCGAGGCCTGTTCAAGATCGAGAATCATTGACCTAACAATTAAGGTGAGTGCATTTGTCACAAAACAAGTGCTAAGAGCTGTTGGTTCCCATTTTTTTTTTTTTTTTTTTTTTTTTT